CAGTCTCCTGCTCTCGACCGCATTTGCCAAGCCACCCTTGGTGGACAGGCTGGGTTCGAAGGGGACGGGTTTTGAGGGGTTGCAGCTGTATCCGGTCCCCGGTTGGAATCGTCAAGGCCATTCGTGAAGGACCAAATTAACGTAGTGGAGCATTTTTAATCATTATGCTAATTGAGCATCTAATTTGCCAATCCATCTAGAACAAAGGGCATCCCTCATTTAACTATCTATGAGTTGTAAATTTCTAAATTTGGAACCGATCGCATTATTGGTTCCCAAGATATGAATTTTTCTTAATTAGAGAAAATGAGCCCAAAAAATGCAAAAAAAATCGGTAACTCGGGAACTTAGCGGCCGATTTCTTTGAAATTTTGAATTTTAAAGCCTCGAGAGGATAAAACGACTGATGGCATTGATTCCACACTGATTTGTGAATTAGGAGCCTAATTAACGGGGTAATTAAAAACGCCCTAATACTCCTTTTTCTTTCCTTTCCATATCTTTGTGGACAGGTTGGGAATGAAGGCGACGGGTTTTGAGGTTTTGCAGCTGTATCCGTTTTCCAGTTGGAATCGTCAAGGCCATTCGGGACGAAATTAACTAGTGGAGCATTTTTATTCATTATGCTATTAATCTTCTAATTTGCCAATCTCTCTGGAAAAAACCAACCTCTTTTCATATTTGCAATATAAGATTGTAAATGCGAGTAATACAAATTAATATTCTAATACTTAAATCAGCGTGCTCATTTGTGTTACTGAGCTACGTAATCATTCCTGCTTTTGTTATTATATAAGTGCATTAATATAATGTCTCTGTCGCATAAAGTAATATTAAATTTAATTAAGAAAATTTTAATTGCAAAATAATAATTAAAATTTATTTAAATTGATTAAATTTTTTCGTTCAGGTTTTAAATTGAATTTCTGTTGCGGATATGGTATATGGAAATTTTTCTTATTATAATAATTATGATTGATTATTACATTAATATATATATTGATGCACCTTTGTGTGTGTTATGTTAAAGTTATAACCCCTTAACGCATTGCCGTGTCTCACCGGCTCTGTATCTCCGTTATTTTATTTAATGCTGTCTGAGATCCGTTTCAGTAAAAATAGATAGGCTAGATTATAATTAAACTTATTGAATAGATCGCACCACTATTAGCATTTTCCTTGTGTAAACCAGGGGTGATTTTAATGATTAGCTAAAAGTTTGTTAGAAATTCTTTGTTATAAAGCAGTTGTTGGTGTAATATATCCATTTTTATTACATAAATATATAAAAGTAAGCAGATAACCAAATTATTTACCAAGTGTTTTTGTTAATTTAAGGAAAAGTTATCTGATAATGAGCGACTCTGACAATTTTGAGTATGCCCAATGTATCAGACGGTTTCAACGATGAGAGTGATGATTTTGAGTGATGGAAGTGAATCGGAAAGATAACGACAACAGATTTTGGATTATAGCAAGGAATTCGTATCAAATTAGTACAAATCAACCAAACATTGCACCACCGAGATTTCGATTTGAAGCTAACCCTGGCTGTGGTTTTACTTTGACGGATTTACTATGATGCTTTGTCGTACTTTGAATTATTTTTTGATAACTCTCTAATGGACATAATTCTAACTGAAAACAAATAGATATGCATTTCAACATCCAGGATCGTCACAGAAACCTATGGTCACCGATTACCTATGGAAGAATTATATATACTTTTAGCCAAACTATACTACAAGGTATAATTAGAAAGCCTAACGATAAGGATGTATTGGTCAAAAGTTGAAATTTTTCAATCACCTATTTTTCCGAAGCTCCTTAGCTTTCGTCGCTATTCTGAGATAAAAAAGATATCTTCACTTCTCTAACAATGAAACTTATGATGCTGAGATTCACCCCCATCCCAAGCTCAATAAATATGGCCTGTAGACCATATAAATAAAAAGTGTTTCTTCTCTGTTATACACACCGGAAAGAGATATTCACAATAGATGAAAGTCTACTACTGGTATAAAGGGCGAATAAAATTGGAAGCAATATATACCACTGGAAACAAGCTCGTTTCGGAATAAAGATGTAACCTTCTTTGCAAATCAAAAACGGGTTACTTATATTCATCCATTATATATACCAGAAAAGGAACGAATATGAGCGATGCATATCGAGAAATGCCGGTATCAACTCAAGTGGTGGTTGTCACTGATTGAACCATTATTAGATAAAGGGGGTACTTTTTGACGATTGACAACTTTTATACTTCTCCTTAATTAGCGGATTTCCTAGTAAAACATCAAACAGATACCTTACAGGACTCTGAAAAGTTCCATGAAAAGAAGTTCCATCTGAAATTGGAAATAAAAAATTGAAAAAGGGAGATGTTATAGCGTTTCTAAGAAGGAAAGTAATGGTGAGGAAGTGGAAAGACAAAAAAGAGATGTCAGTATGCTTTCAACAATCCATAGCACACAGCAGGAAAATACAAGTAAAACAACCAATAATGGTACTCAAATAAAGAAGCCAAAAGTTGTAATTGATTACAACGATACAATAGGAGGCATTGATCAGCTTGATCAGCATCTCCACGATTACCCAACGAGAAAACTAGGAAAAAAGTACTGTAATCAAATATTTTTCCATCTTGTGGATATATCCATATGCAATTCATTTGAACTATAAAAAAAAAAATAAAAAAATGGAAGAAAATGGGACCATTTAGAATTCAGTAAAATGCTTGTTGAAAAATTAATTGAAAAATATCATTCAAAAATGTTACCTGAAAGAACAGGTCGGCCTGGTTACCAACCAACCTGGGCCTTTGAGACTAACCGAAAGACTCTTTCCCGAATTTGTACCACTGACAGAAAAGAAAAGCAGCCCCTTGTAGAAATTGTGTTGTTTGTCGCAGTAAAAGATATGAGAGGAGTAAAAAAGATAAGGAAGGAAACAAGATACTATTGCAGGAACTGTAATATTGGACTTTGTTCAGTTCCATGCTTCATGAAATATCATACCAAACTAAATTTTTAATCAATTCTTATGCTTGCAAGTATGACAATTTGATTTAATTTGATTTTAATAACTTGAAATTCAAAATAAACATGTAATCAAATCGTTTTCACTTTGTTTGTAATATATGTATATATTTTTTAAATTAGCCTATACTTGTACCCCTGTATGTTGTCTTTTCTAATACAAAGGAGCATAACAAAAGACAACTTTCAGTAAAATTATTCCAAAATTAAAAATAAGATTTTTTAATTAAATTTTTAGTTAAAAATTACTTTTATTTGTCGATCATGTCTTAAAATGCACTAGAGAATATGATTATGCAAGAAAAAAAATAGGTGATTTTTTGACCGAAAATTAGAAATTAATGTGTGCCTTAAGGGGGGAATTTTAATAACGAATCTACTGTTTGAATATAATACGCGAAAATTTTTGCGATTACACTTGGCAAAAAGCCTGAGCAGTAAAATCGCTGAACACTGGTAGTTCAGTCCAATTTTCGAATCTCGGCGAACGGTCCATAAGTGCTTTCGTAATCTTCCGTATGTGTAACGTGTATGCAGTATCTTCTGGATGCATACTTGAATAAAGTGAGCGCAGCCCGCGCCAATCCGCTGAACACTGGTTGTTCGGTCCAACTTTCGAATTCCGCCGAACAGGCTGGCTCCATGGGTGTTTTCGTGATTTTACACATGTGTAGTCATAAAATCAAATCGATTAGGTGAATGGGGGCTGCGCCTCTTTCTGTACATGTGTATCCTGTATGCAGAATCTTCTGGATGACTACGTGAATAAAGCGGGCGCAGTCCGAGCAAAAGCGCTGAACTCTGGTAGTTCGGTCTAACTTTCAAATACCCGCGAAAGGGCTGGCTGCATGGGTGTTTTGTGATTTTCCGCATGTGTAACGTGTGTGATGTATCTTCTGGATGAATAGGGGAATAAAGCGAGCGCAGCAAAAACTGCTCAAACTGGTAGTTTGTTGCAACTTTCAAATCCTGGGGATCAGGCTGGCTGAATGGGTGTTTTCATGATTTTCCGCATGTGTAACGTGTATGCAGTACCTTCTGGATGCATACGGGAATAAACCGGTTAAAATAGACGGAAATTTAACATGGGAATTCTTTTAAAAACGAACAATTAAAAGAGGGCTTCAACTCGCTTACCTGGCGGGCTTGCCCGCTAGTATAAATATATTAACAGATGCAGTGAAAGAAATTGCAGCACATATTCCTATTTATACCCTTTTTAAATCGATCCCACCAGCGGCCGAGCGGTAAAATCGCTGAACACTGGAAGTTCGGTCCAAGGTTGGAATCCCGCAAACGGGTTGGCTGCATGGACGTTTTCGTGGTTTTCTCCATGTGTTATATGTATACGAGCTATTTTCCCTTAGAATTTCCTCCACGAAGGCAACCCTCACTTAAGGCAGATAGCCCTCGAGGCTTTGCCGTAATTACATAAAACCAAGCACTTTTCAGATCTTACTAAAAATACAGAAAACTGATGTAATATGGTTGGGAATGCTAGTGGTATGTTTGAATAAAAGAATTCTGGTAATACTTCCGGCATTCTGGAATATTGATCTCAAAGGAAAATCCTGCTGAGGTCGTTCAGATTTTGAAAATTCTGCGGGAGTAAAATTTGCTGCCAGTTCTTTCGACCACTAGTTTAGCCAAAATGTAAGCAGGTAAATAAAAAAAGTCAGTTTTTTTTTAATGCAGTATTACTATGTGCTATGATTATTATTACTATGCGCGGAAGTGGATAAATTGAACAAAATAATATTTTAGAGCTAAGTTTGCTATTTTTACTAGAGTTGAGGTTTGACGGGTGCAGTAGCAAATAATGAAATTCTATGAAATGATAAAATTGCAGCAAATGATGAAATTCAAGATATTTAATCCGCAGTAAAGGGTACAACTCAGCCCCATCATCTTCATGCGACAGAGTTAGATTTTGTTTGTTGACAGCTTGTGTGGGTGTGTCGTTCCGGCTCTTTAATTGTAGGTTTTAAGATTATCATCCCGGTGATAACATGTGATCATTGATCATTGAGATGATAAATGAATTTATCATCTCTTAATTAACAGTAACAGAAGCATTGAGTTATACTTTGCAATGCGAAACAAAATGGTTGATATTCGTAAGGATCTGTGTTTAACAAAATCTTGTGCATCAGTAAAGCACTCAGAATAAATTCTTATTTGCTGTAAATTAATTAAATAGATATGCCTGAGTTTTGTGATCTTTTGCGTACTTCTGGTTATTTTGCATCTGTCAACTACTTCGACAGAGGTCTCCGACCTCATAATTGCCATATGACTTTTCCGAAACACTAAATACTTTCCGAAGGTAAAGTTTGTCTCATTAATCATTTAATTATTTTACTAACATTAATTGAAAAGCGTATCATTATGTCTTTAATGCACGAGAGTTAATAGCACAAGTGTTGTATATCCTAGCAATTGTGTTTTGATGTGTAATCCGTTATGAAACATTTTTACAGAGGCTACTCTATTGAAATTCTTGTGGAATTCTATAGAAATGTTTATCAATAAAATCTTAGAAAAAGTTGGTAAAACTTTCACAAAAAAGAATTTTATAGAAATATTGGTGTGAAAAATTATATAGGAATTTTGTAATGTCTTTTTAGAGTGGTATTCTGTAAAAAACCTGTGAAATTTTCAAAGTCTTTAATGATGAGCAGTTTTTAGTTTCTGATTTATTTTAAGGGATATAGAAGAACAAAAATGAGCACTTTTTATTAATAAAAATCAGTTTCAATCATAAATTTAGGTAAAGGATTAAGCTGTTATAAAATTTTAATTTCTGAAATGAGTGCTTTTAATTATGTATCCAAGGTAAGACAAATAGTTTTTTAAATTTAATTAAACTTGAGTATGATTTAAAATTAATTTCTTTTTTAAATCTAAACAATACTGAAATATTTTGTTAAGAAATAAATTTACACCTCTGTTGAAATTTTATTCTAGCCCAGCCTCTCACATCTAAGTTCTTTCCAAAATTTAAGTTAAGAAATTCTATTCAAAAATTAAAATTTTAATTCATTCTCTTTTTTTTAATCTTATTTATGATGATGAAATATTTTTTAATACTCAGAAACTTCTAGAATATTTTATAAAAAAATTAAAGCAAAGAATCTTGTTTAGAAATGTTTAGAACAGAGGTCTGATTTTTATAAATTGGATGTGATATATTCAATAGACTTTTATTGGCTGATTCTATGCACAATATATAATCTATACCTGGGACTTTTGGAAGTTGTTCCCTTTTTTAAGATCTTTGGAATAGCTACTCATAACTCTATAAAAACCACATCAAAAGTTTTATAGAATCTGTACATAACTCTAAAACTTTTCCTAAAATTTCATAGATTTCTGTAGATCTCTAACCTAGTTTATAGAAAATTCTAAAGAAACATATAGAGTTATTATTATTATTTTTTATAGAGTTCTATAAGATATTTTTTGTTAGAGATGTGCTAACATTGTAATGTTTGTAGCTGTTTAAGTTCATCAGATAGTGAAGGATTTAGTTAGCATTTATATAGTATAAGAGTTTTAAAGATTAAAATTTAAATCATTTTATTTTGTTCCAAATAAAATTAAACTGTAGAATGCCTTTATTCATAAGTGGATTGAAAGGCAATGTTTATAAAATCTACTTATTTCATACTGTAGTATATATAGTGTTACTACATTTAAAGAATAAGAATCTTGGACTATGTGCATTTACAGGACAACAGGGTGGTATCAAATATAACTCAGCTGGAAGTGAGTAAACAGTGCTGATGCATGCAAAATCTATACGTAATACATGCATCTTTCTTCTTGGATACAGTGTGCTATATTCTATAGTAATCTATGTGTGAATACCAAATTAAAAATTTAATAAAATATTAATATAAAAAATTATCTTTAGTTGCCTTCATAGAAAATATTCTGTAGATCCTTACGTCCAGAGCACCATATTAAAAAAAAAAAAAAAAAATATTTCAGTGATCAGAAAACATAGTACCCCATACTACGTGTGCAGATAGAAGTTGATATGAAGGAACAAAAGGAAATTATGCAACAGAGGGTTCAAGATATTGAAATAGAGATTGCATACTTTTTGCTGCATTTCTATTCTGAATATGTGTGAATGGCTGGGATTCTTGTTTCTGTTTCACTTTTAACATATCTTCCACCAGATAATATTTTCCATAGAGAATTTTTGCTAGATTTTATATGTTCATAAAAATCATTGTGATATTTTGAAGTAGTTTTCAAGTTTAAATTTCTTTTAGCTTTGAAACCTGTAATGAACTTCTTTCTGGAGACCATATGTTGTTCATAGTTGAGAAAATGATGATCAGTTTGACCTCTAACCTGATGTATTTAACAGTGAAACTGATAAACAAAATCAGTCTCATTTAAAAATTTCAAACATTTTGTAATCTCATATGAAAACCCCAGATGTAAATCCCAGACTGTCCAGGTTAATTTCAGATGTCAGGTAACCCTTGTGTATTTAATAACATAATATTTTTTTAAAAAAAGCTGATAGTGCTGTTTTTATATAATCAACAGAAGTGTAAACAACTATTATGCAAGATCAGTATATAATAAAAACCAAACAAAACTTACTTTTAATCACACTGCAAATAATGCAAATGAAGATATTTAATTTGTGTAAATTTCTGATGTAAAGGTGATCATTAATAATAAATGCTAATTATTTTTTCATGTGATATTTATTTGTAAATTTGACATCGAAACACAAATAAAATTGTGACTCTCACCTGAATTATCATTTTTATCCCCAATTTTCTATGTTCAGGGCATGGTATCTTAGTGAGTTTCCTCAAAGTTTTTCTTATTTCAGCTCATAAATACTGCTACATTTTGAGAAGCTAAGTTTAAAAACAGGAACAGGTTTAAAAATAACCTGTTTATGAAAATGCATGTGACAATGTTTCCAAATAGAAAAGTAGAGCAGATATGAAATTTGTAGGGACATAGTAAATCATCTTAGGTCAGGCAATCAGCATGTCATTTTTTGGCTAATCTTTGGAATATCGTAACAGGTAGTTTAGCGACATTTTGGTAAGGCAAAAAAGGTTACTAGGTAGGACTTTAGCGATAATCTGAGAAGTACACAGTTTGAATCGCAGATTATTTTGTCTGAGAGAAATGAGAGATCATGAGATATGTCATGTGACATTTTCCAGAAAATTCTGATCGGGATTTTAGCTGATAAGCACTTAAAAACATTTTCGCTGCTGAAGTGCGGGATCGCCCACTTATTTGTTTGGCGCTTTTTACAAGAGTAAGAAGAATTGGGTTTTTGTCAGTTTTCTTTGACTTTTTAAGTGAAAATAGGTCGATGTGTACATGGATAAAGTCAAGAGTGGCCACAAATGCCATTTTTTTTAAGTGAAAATAGGTCGACGTGTACATGGATACCGCATATGTGCAGTTCTTAAAAATGTGCAAAGCAGTGGGCGATTCTGCGCTTTCTCCCAATTTCGCACCTAATCTTCGTCATGATTAAGCACTTTTGTTCCATAAAATTTCTAGCATAAGCGTAATTCGGCTAGCAGATTGTTAGAAAAAATGTTGAGTAAAAAAAAAAAAAAAAAAAAAATGCATTTACTTTGTGAAAACAAAATGGCATCAAAAAAAAAAAAAAACTAGCAGGTAACTGTAGCAGTATTGGTCACCAAATTTTTGCCAAAAAATCGCCAATTTTAAATAATCCGAAGATTCACCCATTTTGCATGTCTGCCCGTATTTTTTTAAAATGCTTAAGATGATTTATTAACATTGCAAAAGTAACAAATTTACAACTGTCTAATATTTTATAACAATGAGTAATGCATTAAATGTAATTAGTAACAGTTTGTTACTTTATAAGGTATTTCTCCCACCTTTTTGACATGCCTTCGTGGTGTATTGTCTCTGCAGTGGCACCTAAACTAAAAGGTGGTGGATGATGATTTCTTCGTCCCCAGGATTTGGCGATTGGGTCCCCCCCAAACCCCAGTCGCCCTTTAAAAGGGGGAGTATATAAGGTATTTCTCCCACCTTGGCGTGCCTTCGTAGTATGGTGGTCTGCACACTGGGCCTTATTCATAGGCCGCGGTTTGATCCTGGTGAGGCGTATTTTTCATCTTTACTGCTTCCAAAAAATACTAATTGGCTGATCTTTGGAATATGTAACTGTAGTTGGGGACATTTTGGAGGCGATAAGGTTACTACTAGACTTGGTATAATGTGAGAAGTACTAGGTCGTTAGCATTTTTGTGTCAGGAAATGAGAGATCATACTACGATTGTGCTTAAGGACGAATTACAGTTTTTAATCGGAAAAGGGGGGGAATTTGGAAACTGTAGTACAGTCAAAGTCGTTAATCCGGACCGTCGGGACTTACTTCGGTGATCGGTTTATCGATTTTCGGATATAGATCATCATTTTAATCCGGTAAGATGCATGCGAAATTACAAAATTAAAATATGACCGAATTTATGAAATAAAGAACAATTATGATCTAAAGGGTATCAAAATTTACAAAAGAAAAAGCTTATATTATTTATTTACTTTTTAAACATTTTTTCAATGTAAGTTGCTTCGTTTCATTGATAATACTTGCTCTTTAATTTATTAAACAGACATAATTTCTTGTTTAGTACAAAGTTCCGCTGTTCAAGTCCTAAAATCGAAAGTTTCGTTTCAATAACCTGTGGGTCACTTCTTAACTACGAAGCGATTATAATGATGAGGCACTTGATTAATCATATCAAAGACAATTACATAGAAAGAAATACTAATTCGTAAGGAATTAAGCCAAATACAATAAAACATCTCCCTGAAATAAGGATAGTGCTGACAGATCAACTTCCAATCCGCAGCGTGAAATGGATCAACATATTCGGATGTCAAAATACTTTCGCTTTGAGTAAAATGACAAGGTTAAATATTAGATGAATTTATTTGACAATCGAAAGTTCAAGCTTATTTTATGAATTGCTCTAACAGTCAAAAAAATAATAGCCGGATCCATCGAGATTAGGAACAACAACGCAATCTGCGACATTAACTGAATAAAATTTTTGCTTAGTTCACCATTCCTAGCGCAAAACATATTAACATCCTAAGGTTTAACGCACTCGTAACGCGTGAACGCTATGCATGCGCAGAACGTTTGTAGCTTTGAGGTCCATAGGATTTTCCAGATTTGGGTGTCGAATTACGACTTTGACTCTACTATATATTTTGTATTAAGCTTCATTGTGTGTTGTTTTGAATAGTGAGTGTGCGTGCCACGTATGAAGATTCGAGATTAATAGTATTTTTAATCATTTGAGGATATTATTTTAGCATGTCTAAAGTAAGGATAAATAATTAATATCTATTATTGGAAAATTGTTATTGCAATGATTTAGTTTAAAGTAATTAGGATGTCCTAATTTTATTAATTAATGTATGTGCTTATTTATATTTTAAGTAGTGTTTTTTTAATTAATTTATTAATTTAAGACGTGATTTTCTGAGTATATGTTTGTAGTATTGGAAACGTTGAGTAGAATACTTGAGTATTTTCATGCATTTCTTAAATTTTCCTAATTTATGAAAAAAAGCAGTTACATGGATATGGAAGAGTGTGCGCATGCCATTTTTGTGCAAATCTGGGATTTTTTTAAAGTAAAAATAAGTCGACGTGTACATGGTTTAATGATTTTTAAGTAAAAAATATTATTTTGTGAATTTTATGTTGTAGGATTTGGTATACGTTTCAGTTGAAGAAACGTGCATGGAAGTAATTTAATATTTGACACAAGTATTTGTCCATTTGTAATTTGCGTATGAATTTGTTGGTTCGTTATAATAAAATAGATAATTTAGAGGTAAAGTGTTTGGATTTTTTTTATTAATACATGGAATGTTCATCTTTGTAAGGGTATATCTTTTTCGCGCTCAGTAATTTCATATGAATATGATAAGGTAATTCGATAAATGTACAAAAAAAGGGTGTATGGCCATTTTGTGCAGCTTCCCTGGGATTTTTTTTAAGTAAAATAGTCGAGTGTACATGTTTAATGATATTTAATTAATGATAGTTATTTTGTGATTTTTGTTTGTAGAATTGTGTACTTTCAGTTGAAGAAAGTGCATGGAAGTAATTTAGTATGACAAGTTTTGTAACATTTGTAATGTTTTGCGGTAGATTTGTTGTCTTTATAATACTCAATAGATATTTAGAGGTAAAGTTTTTGGATATTTATTTATTTTATACATGGATGTTCTCCTTGGAATGGGATATTTTTTCCGGATCAGGTAATTTCATCATGTCTTTTTAACCGAGTTTAAAGATTCACAGTTTTTTTTGCATTTCGTGCAATTTTGTAATTTATGAGAAAATAGCTGTGTAATGGATAAGTTAGGTGTGTGCAATGCATTTTGTGAAATTCTGGGATGTTTTTTAGTAAAAATAAGTCGAGGTGTAAATGTTTTATGTTATGGCGTTCTGAAAACGCCCGAGGAGTTTACATTGTGCACTTTTTCCCAATTTTGCAGTTAATATTGTTATGATTAGCGTTTGTTACATAAATTTCTAGCATAGTGTAATTCGGCTAGTAGAGGTTGGAAAAGTGTTCAGTAAAAAAAGAAAAGAAACTGTCTTTACTTCGTGAAGACAAAATGGCGGCAAAAAAAAAATAGGGGGTTGCTGTAGCAGAATTGGTCGCCAAAAAATCGCCAAGTTACCATAATCCAAAGATCAACCCCTAATGTCTCTGCAACTTTAAAATTATTTTGATAAAATTATGTACATTTCATACCATTTGGCTAGGCAAAAATAAGCATTGTCTGTAAAAGCAATATTTTTTAAACTCTTAGTGCTCTTGCTTGATTATGATGCAATTTAATTTTAAATTGTGCTGTTAAAATCTTAGTGAATATATATTGCTTAGGCATTAGCTAAATATTTTAATAACATTGACAAGACTTCTAAAATATTTAAATTTTCATTTTCAAGCCATGGTATATTCTAATTGTAATTATCTTCATTTAAAAAATGATTATTGGATTGTTTGTTTCCTCTCCACTTGAAAAAAAAAAAAGCGATATTGTGATATTTTAGTTAACTAACCGGCTTAATTTTTCATTTTTATCTTTCCTTTATACTGTATTTCCTCATGTACTTGCTCAGTTCAGAGATTTATGCAGATTTGCTTGGCAAGCAGTTTAGCTTAGAAAGAATTCATAACCATTTAAGTTTTAAGAGATGCACACTTAGTTGTGAGAACGACTGCCACACTTGCCTGTCAGTTTAAGACATCACTGCTCTCATGAATTACCTGACATTAGCCATGGTGGTGTGTTAAAATTTGATCAAATTTTAGTTTATCTGACCAGAGGGTTGCAGCCTTGATAGGAAATATTTAGATTGTATTTAAGAGAACTGTACTTACTGTACCTTTGTTTCTCTGCAAGTGTAGAGTGGTATTTAGTTTTGCATTATTTTAGTTTTACCTTCACTAATGCTGAGATACAATAAACTGCTTCCGCAATTTAGTTAAACTGTGAGAGATAACTGACATCATAATTCTTTAGGTAACATTGAAAGTTGAAATTTAAGTAGAGTTCTAGTTAGTTGTAGTGTTTTTAAGTGTTGTGTAGTGTTAGTATTTAAGTTGCAGTGTTAGTAAGCCTTTACGTTATAAAATGAGCATGAAAGGTGTAAGAATACAAGTATACTTCCTTTCATAGAACATTTTAATTTACATTTTAGATATTTCTGTTATATTTTCAGCTTTTAAATCCCATATTTGTCTCGCACTAGGTTTGTGTGACTATTTTTGAAAGAATTTGTTATAATTAGAGATAAGTTTCTTTAAACTAGGATACGTAATACATAAACTGTTTCAATAAAACATTCAGCATATTGTGGTTTCTAATGCATATTAATTTTCAATTAAAAAACAAAATGTAAAAAAGAGGAGTGGAAAATAAAAGTAAGAAACTTTCTGATTGTCATTTGAGAATGGAAAAATATATGAAAATATTTATTAGAGGATCGTTTTATAAGACATTGTGAAGAGTTACAGTCTTAAATAAATATTTTGCTAATTGTCTGATATTTTAAATAATAAATGATTTTTTATGTACAAAATAATTGAGTTATCAAGCAAGCTTTATTTGACATTAAACAAACATTATATTTTAAAGTCATTTTGATTTTAAGTGTAACTTAGCAGGCTTATTTTTTAGCATTGGTAAACATTACCATTAATGTAATAAAATTATTTTTCTGTCATTTTAACAGTTGATTTTAAATTTCTTATTTATTGTGTAAGATATTTTCATAAAAGAAAATTGTTGAAATTTTTCTTGTTCTATGAAGTATAACATTAGAGTGCAAACTTTTTTAGATGGGTATCTGCTTCAAGGTGACCAAAGATAAGCAGTGGAGTCGGAAAAATGGCTGGTCACCTCCACTTCACCCCCTTCAAATACTGGCCTGGTTTTTCCTTTTTATGTTTGCTATCTTTTACTTCGGTATTTTAGTTCCTAATATGCCAAAAGGGGCTTGGCAAATATCAGCATGTATTGTATCCTTTTGTTGAAAGATTTTGTGTAATATTTTCTTTTATATATATATATTTTACTATATCTTTGTTATATATACTGAAAATTGTGAAAACCCAATTCAAAACTGCAAGTTAATACACACTTTTATTTGCGGTACAAAGTCTATTTCAGGTTACTTTTCTTTTTAGTTAAATTTGGGTAATCTTTTGTTGGGGTATATTGACATTGGTGACTGCTGGTAGATCATCTAAGAAACCAGTCAACTAGAAATACATTAACCTTGTCACTATGGTTTTTTTAAAAAAATATTTTGCTATTTACAAGATTATCATTTAACTGATATTGTTTAGTTAAAAGATTATGCATGATATTTTTCATAATTGAAAATGATGAATGCAAAATATATATTTCTTTTAATGCTGTCTTTTTATTTGAACAATTAAAATGAAAATTGATTTGGCACTTCCTTGTTAAAGTGACAACCACTCTCAGTCACCAAAATTGGAAGATTAGTCACCAGAATTAGCAAACTTGTAGTAACACTTTTAGTAAGCATGTAATAAGAGTATTGTATCATATAACACATATATGCAGCTGTGTGCATTATTGAATTTATGCAGTTCTTTTTTTGGAGGTTGGGTGGGGGTATTTATGTACTATTAGTGCAACCACCTTGGCAGAGTTTGGTGAATATTGCTGAAGAAATAGATTGGTGACTTGTAACTGTAAAAATTTTATTACATTAAAAAGTATGATTAAAAGCCTGTTTTACAATTTAAATAGGTATTTATACCAAAAAAAAAAAAAAAAAAAAGTCATTAAGCCTACTCAGAAGTAGGCCTTTTTTTTTTTTTTTTTTTTTTTATTTATTGTTCTGATGCTTTTGTGGCAATCACTTTTAGGACAATATTCAAAGCAATTGTTCCTTTAGTGATTTTGCAGCAAAATACTGTACTACTGCAGAAATTTTATTGCAGTTTCTTTCAGTGTAAGCAGATCCCACAAGCACATATTTTAAGCAAAAAATTGTACGATTTGCGTATAAAACCATTGGTATGTGGAATGTAGATAAATAAATAGTAAATTAATAAAAGTTAAAAAAACTTGTAATATGAAAACAGTGATGTTGGTTATTAATGAAGAACTCTTTTATGCATATTTGCCAGAGTTTAATACAATCTCAAACTTTTGCAGTTTTTACTGATGTGGTTGTGATAATATACGAGTACCATTTTGCTAAGCAAAAATCTAACACTGTGCACACATTTTTTTTTTTTTTTCTGTTTAGCTGCAGTCAAAATTAATTAAAAAATGTCTTTCATTAGAGAATTATATTTCCTGGAAGCATTTTACATTCATACAAATCCTTCGGTTCTGATTAATGATCCCAGTCCTTATCCTTTATCATCAGATTTTCAAAAATTAATTTGTAGTTGTTTTTGATTTGCAATTTTGTCAATAGATGCCACCAGTGGCTTTGTTTTCTGTGCTTGTGAAATGAAATTTTCTGAAAATTTGCTCTCTTGTTTTATCGCATAAGTACACTTCTTTGTAGTCATTTTTACTTTTAAAGCAGATGAAGAAGGTTCTGTTAATGTTTGAAATTATAGTAAAGCAAAAATTTTCACATTATGTCAATTCTTGTTGCTAATTATTAGTGTATCTTTAAGAACAAATAACATTAAAATTTGGACTAAAGAATAGTGTATAATTTTTAGGTATAATGAAAGAATAAGCATAAGTCATTGCTTAGGAAACTAACATAAAGTTCAAAGGAAATATTCTTTAGCTTTGCATAAAGTAATTAAGCAAGAACTGATGGGCATTATCTTGTTTAAGGTTAATAATAAGAATCTTAATAATGAGAATAATCTAAATCTTCTCGCTTTATGCTAGGAAACTTCTTTTTTATTCCTATGTGTTGAATGCAGATGAAAGATAACTTAGATGATTAATCTCTTTAGGTTCTTTGTTAAAATTTAGTTAATATATTCTAAACATATCACTAATATTATATCACTGTTGTTTCTTAACTCATTTTCAGATAAATGCCATAGTTTTCATCTTTCATATTGTGATTCATTTGATAAGTGTGTCATTAAATCCAGCAGATGTTAATGTTCGTGCCAAAGCGAATAATCGCCCTCTCCCTACATTTGATCGTTCAAAACATAGTCATGTTATTGAAAATGATTACTGTCATATCTGTGAGGTTAAAGTGTAAGTATTTTATGCTTATTCTCATTTATAATTTTATTACATGCGAACACTAAGTACTGTATAACACTAAAATAAGTGCTATTGAATGTATCTAAATATTCTCATGTTGCTATCATTATTTAATTGCTAAATTTAATAAAGAATTCTAGGTAAAAGTGCAGAATCGTTCACTTATTTGTTTGGTGCCTTTTACAAGGGTAAGAAGAATCGGATTTTTGTCAATTTCCTTTTACTTTTTAAGGGAAAATAGGTCGAAGTGCACATAGATAAAGTCAAGGGAGTGTGCAGTGCCATTTTTGTGCAATTCTTGCGAATTTTTTTTAAAGTGAAAATAGGTCGATGTGTACATGGATACCGAGTATGTGCAATTCGTAAAAATCCTCCAAGCAGTGGGCAATTCTGCACTTTCTCCAACATCTGTAATGCTCAATGCCACACTTTGTGAATAAAGCATTAAAAAAAAAATATTTATACTATAGATGTGTGGGAACATTTTATATTTTCTTAGTCATAGAAAAAGTAAATCATCATCTATTTACTATCAGTTTTATAAAAATCTTCAAAATGTTAAATTATATTTTAATATAAAAAAACTTTGAGGTTAGAGTAGAGAAAATGGTACACCTTGTATTATCGTGAGGTTGTTGTTTCATTTATGGTAGCCTTAGTAGTTGAATGTTATGGAAACCCTATTATGACATAATCGGTTGCATGATTGTAGTAGTAAATTTGTAAGGCCTTGTGGTGTGTGATGTTATGAATTACAGTGTGGCCAAATTGGTCATACTTTTGGAATTTTTATGTTTTGAACTTTTATGCTTATAAAATGTTATGTTTCGCAAAGTGCAACTTGTATATTCATTTACAGAGAATTTATTACTGATTCATACAAAACAAAATCAATTATTTGCAATAAAAGTATATACTTATATAAATAAAAAACACAGTTATTTGGTTTGTAGGTCTAGCTCTGGCCAATCACTGTTTGTTTCTGAGAACCAATCAAATGTTATAGCTGCCAGTAGAAGCGACATCATTTTACACTTGACACATTCATTATTTTGCTTTGTTCGTAGAAGAGGACCTGTTTCTAATAATGCAATAAAGTAGGAATTTTTGTAAAATTTTAATATTTAGCAAGAGCAATGACAGCAAATAAACGAGTAGATGGACACCTAGAAGAGATCAATGTATTGTGTACGAAAGTGGTCTTTCTACGGAATTGCAAGACAGGGGGATTCAGTGACTACATCTGGAGTCCAAGTTTGTTACGATTCAGGAGACAAATTCAATAAAAACAAAGAGAAAAGGCCAAAAAGGTGCAACATCTATGATTGACAGAAGAATAAAAGACTATGTCTCCAAGATAGAAAATGTATCAGGTCTATCAGAATTGATCTGAATGATGTCTGGTGTTTTGTCAGTTCAAAACAATCAGGGAAGATAACCATATGTTGACGGATTAGAATCCACGAGAACGCCTTATCTTATTTTTCGCAACGAAAACAAAGACTAAGGCAAAGAACACCTTAATTGGACGATGATCAGTGGTGACATGTTATATGGAGTGATAACTAAGAAATCGTTATCGTAGTGAGGCGAAAATATGTAAGCGCAAATAGGAAAGAAGCTACATCTGATTGCATTCAAGCAACTGTAGAACCAGTTAGTCTATGATTTGGTCATGCATTCAACGATGTTCTTGGTCGCCTTCATGTCTGGGGACAAATACCAGAAATACATGACACTATTCTGACCAAACTTCTACCTCCATCAGATATCTCTTTCCCAACAATGCTTCGTTTATTTTTCACAGATCTGCCTTGCAAACGCCAAATACGAAAGAGTGGTCGTACAAAGAGCATAATTGTTGTCATGGCCAGGACAAGTCTGACTCAATCCTATTGAAAATTTGTGAAACGTTTGAAACCTCTTGTCCGAATGAGGCGAACATCAAATAAAAGGGAACTAATTGAGGCTATAACTGTTTCCTGGCATCGTACAATAACGAAAGAAGAGCTTAAAACTCTTGTTAGCTCAATGAAACGTCGATGAAAAGCTGTAATCAAAAATAAAGTGTACCCTACTAACTACTGATAACTCACTGGAATCATCACTATCTAATGTATATCGATCTAATCTAATGTATATCGATAACTATTATCGTTTAACTTTTTCATATTGCAAATAATTGAATTTTGTGTTTCGTATTGAATTCAGTAATAATTTTTAAAATGATATACAGTCAAAAGTCGTTATTTGGACACCCATAATCCGGACCTCAAAGCTAAAAACTTTATGCGCTGCGCCGCGTGACACATCGCATAGGCGTTACGTGTGCGGTAAGAATTTTACGACTGGCATATGTGTGCGCAAGCACAAAAAACGTTTCGCGTGCGCGTTTATGTATAACGGACGGTATAAGCTAAAATTATCTAATTATCTATTACGTTAATGTTGATGATTGCGTTGTTCCTTAATCTTGAATTGGATCCGGCTTATTATTTTGCAGACTGTAAGAGCAATTTATAAAGTAACTTGAACTTTCGATTAAGTCAAAAAATTCCGATTTGGAGCTCCCAAAGGACGTACAAAACGAAAGTATGTTTCGATGTCCATCAAACAAAAAGTGGAATTGCTGCAAAAATGGATAAAGACATGAAGATGTGACAGAGAGATTAGTGAAAACGAAAAAATTTCGATTGACAAGTTAGTCGGTATTCTCGCACAGCAATTAACGGGACTTTAACAGCGGAGCTTTCTAACTGAACAAGAATATGTCTGTTTATAGAATTAAAGAGAAAGTATTATCACATAAAACGAAGCAACTTAAACAACTTACATTGAAGAACTGTTTAAAAAGTAAACAAATAATATTAAGCTTTTTTTTGTAAATTGATACCCTTTAGATCATAATGCTCTTTTCATAATTACGGTTTATATTTTTTATTTTGAATTTAAATGATCTTACGAGAAAAAATCGATAACCGAATCGCCGAAGTCCGACGAGACGGATTACGACTTTTGACGTATACATTTTGCATTGGAAAGTAACGTTTTCTATAAGAACAAAGTTCAAAAACATAAAAATTTCCCAAAGTGTCCACAATTTTGGCGCACCCACATGTAATATTGCTTGTTTTGTGGTTTAGATGGTAAATGCTGAATATGGTAATTTAATTGAGTTTCTGTATGTTGGAAAGGAAGAAAAACATTAATTGACTAGTGTCAAATGAAGGTTTTACTTAGCATTATTAAGTGTCCTGTTTGTAGAAAGAAATGTGTATGATTGAACGTCGGAGGATAATGGTAGGGGGAGACGGGGAGGGGTAGTAAGGAGGAATTTATGTGTGGATGCCCATTATACGTTCTAGTCAGATATTTTAGGAAGTTTTGGAATTTTGTTTGACTGACGATATCTAATTCATAAGTAAGGTGGTGTATATTTCCTGGTGTAATGCAAGATGAATTCTTTTAATGTTTATTCATTGTTTGATTTAAAATTAGTTTATGAGATTATAATTTTTTTGTTAGATGCTCCTTTAGTTTTTACTGAATATCGTTCGCTTGTACATGGACAAGTCAATGGACTGTGCATGCCTAGTTTTGCAATTCTCTGATGGTTTTTAAGGAAATAGTTCGATGTGTACATGGATAAAGTCAAGGGAATGTGCAGTGCCAAGTTTGTGCAATTCTTTGTCTTGTTACTTTGGCTTTGTGTAGCGACGATTTTTGTGCCAAAATTGCCACTACATAAAGCCAAAATAATAAGTCAAAGAATTGTACAAACTCAGTATCCATGTACCGCCAAAAATGACCAAGGGGTACCCGTAAATGTATTTTTACCAACTTTGAATTAGGAAAATTTTTGGCATTTTGAAAACTATATGATTCTTGATGAATTAACTTGTTGTTTGTTGATTCTAATTAATGAATATTGTGCATCAACTGAATAAAAATTTATCTTATAAGAAGAAAATTATCTTGTGAAATGAATTAACAATAACTGCTAATTTATTATATAATTTAATAATAATAATTTAATTGCTAATTTATTATTATTTGTTATAATAATTAACTGAAATTTAGGGTACTTATATATTATCTTGTTGACCATGAAAAGTTGCCTGAAATCTCCCAAAGCTGTACCAGCCATCCCTGTGAAATTCTGTTCCATGTACATCAGTGTCTCCGTGTAGAAAGTCCGTGAAGGCAGATAGCTACCACATTCTTTATGATAATCTAATAAATCATTCAAATCTCTCTTCACAACCTGCGAAATAGCTACTGTTATGTAAGCATTCGATGGCTTCTTTTTTGTTCTTCATAGAAAAGCTTTTATCAATTTCTGCTATTTTGTTATGACCTCCAATTTTACTGGAAGTTCTGTTTAGAATGATTTGAAATGTCATGGTATCCCTCAAGTGATTGTTCCAATCAATTAGTGTTTTTTCAGCCATACCCAGCTGTTCTTTTCTCCATTTAAAAGTGATTTTAATTCTCTTGCCCATGTGCACTGAATCAGAATACAGTCACTGTGATTTTACAATCATCGGCTCTACTCTTATATGCACCTTAATATCGCCAAATGTTGTGATACGTGGTCTCCGCTGGTTTTGGGCGAGATTATGTGTTGTATGGCAACCCTGTTGACGTTGAAAAATCTTTTGCTGGAGTGATTTAATTTCTCGTTGGTTCGTGTAGTGCATATTTTGAAATGGCCTAAGGTGCAATGATTGATAGGCGTGGTGGCAAGATTTCAGTCGTGTATTTTAGATTGTGTGGAAAGTAAATTTAGTATTAAAAGGTAGTACGATGTTGGAATTGTTAACAAGTGTTTTGTTTATGGGTGTGTTTATGAGGATTGAAGTGTATTTTTGGAATTTCTGTGGGACTTTTAAAATGGAGTCTGATGCAGAGCTCATGAGAACTCGGACAAAGAAGGCGTTTCTGATATTTTTGTTGATTGCAGTCAATGGTTGCTGATAAGAGGGTTTTTTGTCACAAGTTTAAGATTTGGATTGTGTTTTCATTAGTATTAACTTGGAGGAAGTTTTTTATGATTGCTTTCAAAATTTTGAAGCTCAGAAAGACTATGAAATAGCAATTGGCACTTTGTTCAGACATTGTTGCTGGCGAAATTTATTCAGGAATGTATTATGGTAATTGCCTTTTTTTGCTTATTTTTTTTTAGAATGTTTATGTCATTTTTTTTATACGAATTTCTGTTTATCGTTATTTTTGAATTGTTTGTAATTTAGTTAGTTCATTTGGTTACTGTTGCAATCCTAGATTGTGCAATTCGTAGATTTTTTTTTAAGTAAACAGATCTTGGTACATGGTTCTTTTTAAATTATATTGTTATGTTAATTTTGAAGCAAGGTGTGCGTAGTCGAATTCCTTCCTGCTAGAATGTCATTCGTATATTTTTTAAGTAAGGCGTATCGCTGGTAATAGATTCTGTCAAGATATTTTTGGTTAGAAACTTAACGTTTTTTCTAATTTTTTTTTTTGTTTTGATTTTACTTAACCCTTAACTGCCGCTGGTCGTATATATACGCCTTGCTCAGGCCTTCGTTACCTGCCCAGGCGTATATTTCGTCTTCAACTGCTATCATTGCTTTGGCTGCTACACCTAAAATTATTCGCAAAGTTAACGCATCGGCTGCGCATCTGGGGGGCAGTTAACGCATCGGCTGAGAAAGGCGTATATATACGCCCGCGGCAGTTAAGGGGTTAACTGTGTCTTCAAAGCGCGATTTTTGTATGTGCGAAAACCGCGTTTTTGGAGACATTATAGGCTTAAAATTCGAATTGTAGACAAAAAATTTAGGTAGTAATAGGGCAGTGTGAAGTTTCTCACCAAAAATGTTTGGCAAGAAATTTGACGACCTGAGGGTGCATATAAGAGTAGTTCCCAATCATCAAACTCATTTTTTTCCCAAAATAAAATATAGCAATAATAGTTCATTTATATTCATGTCCCGAAAAATAAAAGGTGCCTTATTTAATAAATGGAGTTGCATCAAATGAAAGCATGTTGTTATGTCATGTTTATCCATAATTGAAGCTCAGTCATACTGCTTGGAGACAGTTTCATGGTTGATGGGATAGAACAGAAGTACCAAACTTATTTTTCATTTTATTTAATACTGCTTCATTTTATTTAATATTGCTTCATTTTATTTAAATAAGCTGATAATATTTATTTCTGTATCTAGAAAATTGAAACGTCATCAAATAAACGATTGTGTGCATCACCATCATCATGTCTGAACTTTTGTGAAATTTTTTAGTTATTTTTGTGAATATCAAGTGCTTATTATTTTAATTTTCTTCAAAATTTTCAGAGGAAAACGATCTAAGCACTGCAGTGCTTGTAACAAATGTGTATCAGAATTTGACCACCATTGTAAATGGCTTAATAATTGTGTTGGAGGAAGGAATTACAGGTAGACTAAATTATTTATTTCTTTAAAAATTCTTATTGTATGATCTATCTTTAGATTTATAGTTCAGTCAATTTATATATTAAACAAACTTCTGTAAAATAATAAATTAGTTTATTCTTGTATAAAATAAAAAAATTTAACCAAAATAGTTTAAGATTACTTTTGAGTTAAAGCCACACTATGCATTTCCAGAACCATAGTGGTACATTTTGGTTTATTTCTTTACTTACTTCTTTGGTTTAGTAATATACAAAATGAACAAGTGATGATAGAAAATGATCATGGACATGAACAAGAAAACTCTGTATCTTCATGACATATGGAAAAGCACGACTGCATTAATATTTGTTTTTCTTTCTGTAAATAAGCTTTCATTAATTTCCAAAATTTTGTTGTATCCATCAAGTTTAAAATTAAATGACATAGTAAGACTATGCCTTAGACTGTTGTAATTATTTCAATCGACAGTTGTGTTGTGATTCATTTGGTGCAAGCTTTGATTCATAAATTCATTAATTTATAAATTAATATTCAATAAACATTGATTCTTGGCACTATAACTGTATGAATTGTGTGGTAGTAATAAAAGAAATGCATGATTCAATAAACTGCCTCTGTACTTGGGCACCCTGCCCACACACACACACACCGTCAAAGAAGGCTGCATAGCTATTTTGGCTTCGAGTCACATTTTAATTTCATGAAGTAATTATTAGAATGCAGTTTCTCTTTGTGAAGAACATCTCATGAAAGAACAGAATAGTTGCTTGTTCATTTCTTGGCAAATCCCAAGTCATGGAATTTATTGCAGTAAAAAAAAAAAAAAAAAAAAAAGGTGGCTATGCAAGCAATAATTATATAGACAGTTATTTATTAAGAGGAAAGAAGCTAAACCAAAGTCATGACATCTGGTATCAAGGAAACAAAAGAAGTGTTAAGTTATTTAACTTTAGCACAAAGGTAGCAGTTCATGTTCTGGTAGACTGTTTTCTGTCTGAATTTGTTTTGACAGTTTTTATGCAAAATTTGAAGTTATTATATAGGTTTTTGTCGCACAGAACTAGCCTGTTTTACTTTTTAAGATAAGAATTCTCATTTGAAAAAAAAAATTAATATCTCTTTTCAATATTGCACTTGATGGGTTTTTTTTCCCATATTTATTTGGTTTATTAGTCATATTCTAAGAAATGAGCACTTTGCTGTGCTATTCAGGGAAAAAATATTCCTTACAAATATTTAATTCAAATAACTCCTTCATGAAGTTAAAATGTGATTTGAAATCAAAACAGCTTTGCAGCCATCATTCTTGATAGAAAGAATATGGTATTCCAACTCAAATATAGTGTTTGTTGGATCACTCATTTATTCATTACTACTGATTCATTTATTGGGTCATCCTGCAAGCTCTGTAGTTTTTCAACGTTTTTTTCTAATTATTTTGTTACTTCTCATAAGATGTGACTTTGATTAAAGCAGATTCATAAATATCATATTTGCTGTCCACATTGTGCATAATTCTAGCATGTGATCTGGTATAATGTTTTTTTAATGTAGTGCTCAGAATGGGAAACTGAAAAGTTCACTTTTATCATACTGTGCTCTTTTTTTTTTTAAAAAAAGGAAAAACTACTAGCCGGATTGCTTGTAAAATTTGTGTATGGACAAAGTACTGTTTCTGATGATACAGTCGATCATGTTTTAAGAAGGAGGAAATTTGAGTGTCAGAGATGATGATGCTCAACCATCCTTGTAACCAAGGACCTATTAAAGGAAGCTATCTCTGAAAATCCACATTATACAGTTCAGTATTAAATAATATAAATATTTCGAAAAGTAAAGTATATGATTATTTAAAGAAGACTGAACTATAATGTGTAGAAACCCCATACTTCAATAGAGCAGAATATGCTTTAACATAATGAAAAAAACTCATTGTTTAAAACAACGTATTACTCGAAATGGTTCAATTCAGACTGTTCAATTATATTGCCAAGAAAAAAAAAAAAAGAAAAAGAAAAAAAAAAATCATTTTGACAGGGTAAGTGAATTTAACCTCCTTTATTAACGTAGAGAGGGGCTGTATCCTGGAAAAGTAATGCTTTATGTGTGGTGAGATTATAATGAAATTGTATGTTATGAATTGTTGCCACCAAATCAGACAATAAATTTGGAAAAAAACTATTCCCAAATGATAGAAATCAAAGCATAAGGCCCAGAACTGACCAGTCATTAAGATGTTTTCTTCTATTATGATAATGCTTAGCCCAGCAATCCAACAAATAATTATTGAGTATGGCTGGGGTATTTTGTGTCACCCATCTGTTCAGGTCACTTCAAAAATTCTATGAATGGTCTGGAGTTCACTTTTTTGGAGACTGTCAAACAATACCTTGATAACATCTTAAATTATAAACCTATAAGGTATTTTCTCCCTCCTTTCTGCATGCCTTCATGTTGTAACTGGAAGCACACTTGACACATAGATCTGGAGGAATGGCAGTGAAGGCATTGCACGTTTTTCACGTCTCCAGCATCAAAAACCTTAATGACTCTACAAGTGGCATCCAAAATAAAAAATGGTGGTGGGCGATAATTCTTCACCACCAGGATTTAACAACTGGGTCCACTCATACCCAAATACCTTTTAAAAATGGCGAGATATAAGGTATTTTCTCTCTTCTTTCGGTCTGCCTTCGTGTGATAACTGGAAGCCCATTATCACACGAATTCAACATGTATTCGGGAATTCAACATGTATTCGGGAGGTCCAGAGTTCGAATCCCAGCGAGGGTATTGCACTATTGCACTAGGTCTTCAGCATCAAAAACCCTAACAATCCTGCAAACCTAATGTCTTTTTTTTTTTAAAAAAAAAGGAATTTTCCATTTGGCTGAGAAATGGCAAAAAGTCATTGAACAATATGGTGTATCAACAAAATGTATGTTTTTATACTGCTTCATTTGTGTTTATCATAAAAAAGCTGCAAAATTTTCTTGATGAATCAATGCTTATGGTATGAGTTAATAATTATTGAATTTTGTGAATCAAAGTTTGAAGTGGATCATAATGCAGTAGTTGTTTGAAATAATTGTACGAAAGGATTTCGTACAGTTATTTCAGTTGCATTAATTGTATTAAAGGATTTCATACAATTATTATTCAATTCATTTATTATCTCATTCTGACATCAAAATGAATGAAGGCTACAAATATATGAAAATTGCTGAAGACTTGTTCACAAAAAAGAAAAAAGCCATGTTCTCTCACTACAGTGGGTTTTTGGAGGATTTTGTTGTGAAATTAGAGGTTTTCTTGTTGCTATTCACAGTTGCTTTGTTTCATCTAATTTGAGCCAAAGGCATGTGGAAAGAAATAAGCCAAAAACTCTCTGTATAGTAAGTACCACAAGTGTGGGGTGCTACTTTGATGAAAAAGAACTCTCTTTTCAAGTTTATATATCATGAGTCGGGATCAAGGATTTTATGCTTGTAGAATTGCATTTTATTTCTTTCTAATAATTGGAAACAATTTAACAATTATGTTCCTTGATCTTATTTTTTAAAATTTTGTAACAGCATTTAGTGGTTAAAGAAAACCATGCTTTATATCAGTTGATTTGGTATTAATCATATAGGTTCAATATTAGTATAAATTTGCCAAAACTAATTCAGTACTAAAGTGATAGACAAGGGCTGAAGCATTTCAGTTATTTAGCTTTCAGTAGCGTATTAAAATTTGGCTATAATATGTAGAAAAATGGTAAAACTTAAGATTACTCAGCAATTACATGTTGAAATGTAAAAATTTTAAGGTACTTTTCCGTTTCACCGGCACAAATCTCGCCAAGCAGACTTTGTTGACGACAACATACAGTATACACATAAAAAATTTTAACAAATGTTATTTCTAAGAATTTTTTATTTTAAAAGCATAAACATTTTAATATGGTTTAAAATTTTGTAAAAAGGCAATAAATTTGTAAAAAGACATTAATTTAAGAATTTATTATGCTTTCATGGTTCAACATCCTGATTTGTATCATGGAACTCCAAGTGATCTCATATCACGTAAACTTAGCTACAAAAATCTGATTCTTTCATTAATTATTTACATTAATTTCAAGTTAAATTTTAGTTTGGAATACAAGTTTAAATGCAAGAATTATTTCAATTCTTACCATAGCTTACTCGGAATTATGAAAACCGCAGTGCTTTACTTTCGCTAGTGCTTCTCATTAGAATTGAAGAATTAACCCTTGCCTTTTCTATATTTTCCTTTCGGGTGAGTGGTGTGATTGCATCCTAATTGACTTAATTACCGCGAATGGCCTTAGGGCATAAAACTGAACTATCTGATAGAAATTCTATGTAACTGTATGCCAGTATTGAAAGAAATAATCAATCTGATAAGAAATGGCTGAGATTTGGTTTGAAAATGATGTGTAAAAGGTTACTAGTGGGGATATTCCGTTAGTTATCATTTGTATCATTATTGGCGACTTTATCGCCAGCGCCGGCAAAACCGAAAAGTACTAAATATTTTTATATTTATAAAAGCATTGCATCATGTGATTTCATGTAGCTGTATCTTACTTGAATGAAGCCTCTTACTATCATAACAGTTAATTATACCTGTACCAGACAGTTTTTTTTTTTTTTTTTTTTTTTTTAATGCAACTTGTTCAGAATAACGATGCCAACAAAATCAGCACTAAAAAATATTGAATATTTTGCCTTTTCTTTATTTTTGCTTTCAGGTGAGTGGTGTGCTTGCACTCTAATTGATTTAATCACCACGAATGGTCATAGGGTATAAAATTTAGCTATCTTGTAAAAATTTTATGTAATTGTATGCCAGTATTGAAAGAAAAAATCAATCTGATAAGAGATGGCTTCGACTTGTTTTGAGAATGAGAATTCGCTGGTAACCTTTTACTAGCAAAGATATTCCGTTTGGCATCAGTTGTACCGTTGTTGGCGACCTTTATCATTTGCGCTGGC